AACTGTAAGATGCCAACCAAGAATTTTGTGTTCAGCACACTGTCCTATAAATGGAGACATTAAGACCTCTTAGTTAAATAAGATCAGACAATTTGTCAGCAGCATATCTGCCTTATAAGAAATACTAAAGAAAGCTCTATCGACTAAAATGAAAGTACACAAAGCATGACTATAATTCATACACAGAAAAATAAATTGACGCAAGTAGAGATAACTGCATAGGTATGTGTAAAAGAAGTCCATATGCATTCTTGTTTATAACTTTACTTCTCTTCACTAAATTGTGAGCTGTTGCTAAAAAAGTACTTAGGTATAAATATTTATCTATTAATAGCTATATTATTAAACAAAAACTTTCAAATCAGTAACCGAACTCTTTGCACCTAAAGAAATTAGAATAATATGAAGCTGAACCCAAAGCAAGCTAAAAATAAATAAATAAATAAAGATCAGAGTGAAAATAAACTAAACAGAAAAGAAAAAAAGCCAATGAAACCAAGTTTCTTATTTAGAAAGATCAACATGCTGAAAAACCTTTAACTATATTGAGGAAAATACATCAATTACTGATATTAATAATTTGAGTGTTCTCAATCTCTCTCAAATTGCTAATATCAATAATGAAGCAGTATATCACTGTTAACTTTGTAGGTGTAAAATAGGTGATAAGGGAATGCAGTATTCTGAATAAGTTGGATTAAAAAGCTAGACACATGGAGCTTCCCTATGACCCAGCAATCCCACTCCTAGGTATCTACCCAAAAGACACAAAAACACTGATTGAAAAAGATACTTGTACCCCCATGTTTATTGCTGCTTTATTTACAATTGGAAAAACATGGAAGCAGCCCAGATGCCCAAAAGTAGATGACTGGATTAGAAAGATGTGGTACATATATACAATGGAATATTACTCAGCAACCAAAAAAGAGAAACACATGTCTTTTGCAGCAACTTGGATGGAGCTGGAAAAGATCATGCTGAGTGAGATAAGCCAGAAAGAGAAAGAAAAATACCGGATGGTTTCACTCATAGCAGGAGTATAATGGACCAGGCGAGAAAATAACAAAAATAATGAACAACCATAGACCAGAGACATTCTGTGGGGGTGGAGTGGGGAATGGGATCAAAAACGGGGGGGGGGGAAGGGAGGGAAATGCACGGGACTATGGTGGTGGCACAGGGGTGATTTGGTGATGGGAAACCCATGGGGATTACAATTGAGATGAAAAAAAAAATGTGAAAAATGATGTAAAAATAAACTTTTTAATAAAAAAAAAAAAAAAAAAAAAAAAAAAGCTAGACAGCCTATATAAAATAATACCAAGTACTAGAGATGATGCAGTGGTACCAGAACTTTTATTCATTGTTGATAAAAATGCAAAATGATGTAACAAGTCTGGAAAATGAGTTGATTTTTACAAAATAAATATATATTTACCATATGAATCAGTAGTCCTACCCTATATATTTTTTTTCAATTTTGAAATGCTTATTTAATTGACTGGTCAAAATATAACTTATTTTGATTAATTTTGTTAGTGGTTTATATATCTATGTTATTTTAGGGGTACATTTTTACTCCTCCATATGTGTATTGCTTCACTTACCATCTACCAAACCGCTAGTGCTAATTAATGCCTTTTCCCTTCCCTTCCCCTATCTCCTCCTCCACCCCTCTATACTATATAAATGAAAACTCATATTCACAAAAAAAAAAAAAAATCTGTACATCTGTAACTCTTTTAATACTTGCCAAACACTGGATATAACAGAAATGCATGTCAACAAATGAGTGAATAAAAACTCTGGTACCTTCATATAATGGAATACTAATTAACAACAACAACAAAAAATGAGCCTTATGCATACACCTTGGGTGAAATATAAAGGCCTTATGCTAAATTGAAAACAAAACTATAAAATGGACAATAGTGGTTGCTAGAAATTATAAATGGGGAAAGAGATGGGTATAAAAGGATAATGAAAATTTTTTTTGAGTGATAGAATTATTCTGTATCATGATTGTGGTAGTAGTTTCATGAATCTATATGTGCAGTTAAAATTCACATAACTATATACCAAAAGGAGAAAAGTCAGTTTTGCTGAATGAGAGTAATTTTTAAAATATATTACATACTACCATAGGCTTATAATGGAGAGGGAAAACATAAGTCAATCGATCAGGAAGTATGGTCGTAGAGGCAAAAAGGTGTATTATAAGATATGAAAATACAAAAAATGTGATAAATATTGTTATTTACATAGAAAAACTAGATGAAGGAGTCCCCAGATTGGCTTCATAAACTTGCATTATCCAGTATTTCTCTCATATAAAATTTAATGAGGAACTGCTAAGTAGCAGCTACTTTGATTATTACATTACTGATAGAACCAAAATCAGACCCAGTTATAGATAAGAAGCCATATAAAAATCTAGATAATGTGCACTTTTCTAGAGGTGCATTTGTATTTTGTAGTTTTTACAATCATGTCGACATAAGTATCTTTCTTGAAGTCAAAAAAATTACGTTGGGTATAATGTCAAAACCTGGTTTTAGTTATAAAGAACTTAAGATATTCCTGTACACATTTTCACTTAGTAAACTGAAACCACATTTTGCAATATATCTTTTTGAATATCACAGTCAGCAAAGAGAATGCTAACAGATGCACGATTTGAAGAAATATCAGGTGTACAATAATTTTGAAAGCCATCTAATTATTATAAAGACAATTTTTTAAAGTTCAGATCAACATTCCTGTAAATCTACAAGGATTATTTTCTAAGAGATTATGAATTGAAATACTTAACCAATTGTTTGGCAGCAAATGAAGCAGAGTGATAGTCTTACTTAAACATCGACTGAGATATATATGAATCGCTGTTATAACACACACATCATCTAGAATATTGCATATGTGTATGAAAAGGATACAGGTTTGGTTAAAATAATCCTTTTTTGTTTGTTTATTTTTCCCTAATAGAGATTATTTTAGGGCAGATATAGGATAAAACAAGAAGTGATTTTTGGGCCACAGGTCTGTAATCTTTAGATTTCTTTTTGGATTGTCATTAGAAATTTGCTTTGTAACCCTGAGCAGAGGCATTTGATGTGTGACCATTTCACTTTCTGAACTGTTTATACCTCAGTGGGAATACTGAGTTAAATAGTTTGACTGTTGAGATGTGAAATCAAAGTGAACACTGGTCAAGGTCTTTCTCAACAAAATTAAATGTTGCTAATTTAAAATGGGCCAGAGTAATATTTTTCTGTATTTTGTTCATTCTGTAGTTTAAATTTAGATAATTTGACAAACACTTTTACAATTGGCTCATTTCTGGACCATTAAACCGCATCATTAAATATTATTTATTAAACTTCCATGTGTTCATAGACCCAGAATGACTGCTATGCAATAGCAGTTTAGGACATAGCATATACTTTTTCTTTGCCAAAACAAAACATTAAAAACTTCTATTGCTAATGAACACAAATATTTTTTATTACTCCTATTTATTTCACTTACTTTTCCCTGCCATTGCTAATTCTAAAAACTGTATGGAATTTTAAAGCTACTTTTGAATTACTAGCAAATACATTAACAAATATGTTTTATATTAATATTTTTGATATACTTCAGGCCAGCTGCTTTCAGATTTATTTCAGGGTAAGGAAGATGTGGACATTAAAGTTAGAAGTTGTATTCAAACTTTATTTTATCTGTTTATTACAGACACATAGATGTAAGTTTTAGAAAAGATGGACATATAAAGGAAAAGGAATAAGATGGAGACAACAAAACAAGGGAGAATATAAAATACCTAGAGATATTATATGGTCATGTAGTAACTCCTACTCAGAATGACATTATATTACTATTTTTGAGACTACTTTGACCTAGTCATTCGATAACATAGTTTGACTTAGTTTGGTTAACAAAAAAAAGTGTATTATGCTATTCAATGCTTTTGTTGTTGTTATTAAATCTATTTCTTTGCTGACTATATGATAATATTCTGTTACTTATTAATGGAGTCACCAGATGGTACAAAAAGAAGGAAATTTACCTACACTAACTCTGTTTTGTTCATCTTGGTTTGTGAAATATGATTGGAAAGTAATATCTAAATGTAAATGTCCTATATCTTTTATCTAGTTATATTTGTTCTATCCTCTATTAAAAGCAAACAGAGGCCCTCCCTGGTGGCGCAGCGGGTTAAAGCACAGCACTGAGACTCTAAAGCCACTTCCACATGAGTTCGATTCCCGCCTGGCCCCGGAGGTGACCACATGGCAGCAGACCTCTCCTGACCCGCCCACTGCTCCCCTCAGCAGTATACTTCGTAGATCTGCCTGTTCTGTTCCCCGCTCTGTCTCTGGTGAAGCCTCTCACCGCCCCTGAGCCTCTGGCCTGTACCCCAGTTCTGTATGCACAAATAAATAAATCTTAAAAAAAAAAAAAAAAAAGCAAACAGAAGTTAACTACATATTTTCTTAATGAATCCAGTGATAATTACTACAGGTCTCTTTTTGTTCTCTTACTTAGAGAAAACCTTGAGACTATTTCTGAGATGTTGATATGAATACTTAATACATCCATAATATATTAAATTTATAGTAAATTGTTATTGTTCAGTTATGAAGACAAAGTTAACTTGATCAGTTAATGGGATCTTGTGTGTACTCATTTATTCATGCATTTGTTTCCCAAAAGTTTAAATATTGTTTAGCATCTAACTTGTTTTTATCTTTTCTGATAAAAAATTTGAATTGCACAGCAATAAAAGATATCTATCGAACATTCTTCCTGGAAAAGTAAGAGAGGAAGACACATTGACCTTAGAGTGACAAGTTTATGGTTTTCAGGACTGGGACCTACTTTGCAAATTTGTGTCCCACCTTTAATATATTGAAATAGTCTTTGATATTTCAGATGGCTATTAAACTTGAATTATATATTATCATAGCTTATTGTCTAAAATTATTTCTTTTTAGGTAAACAAGATTATAAAAAAACCAAACCTATTTTACGAGCAACAAAATTAAAAGCAGAAGCAAAGAAAACAGCAATAGGCATAAAGGTACCTATATTTCATAACTTTAAAATATGCAATATGAATGCCATTTTATTTTCTAAAACTGGATTGCATAAATGTTGAATGCCAGAACTAAAGATTTTCATAAAGAATTTACTTAATAGGGAAGTATCCTTTTTATCCTGAGAGATCAACAGGTCTTGAATTAAAATACAGTGCTACTTAAGAGAACTAGTTATTTCCAAAGTTACATTTTTTTTCTGCTACTGTATATGTTGTTCAAACATTTTGATGATTTATGTATCTTGAATGTGAAAATCTCATTTTCAATAAATTTCACTTTATAATTGTTAAATTTAGTTGTGTTTGCATATGCTTAGATCATTAATATGTAATTTTACTTTTAGTTTTATTATCAGTATCCTCTATGATGAAATTCTAAATGATGTTTACAAATTTGTTCCTTTACAAAACCAGTGTTTTGACTGGTTAAGAAGGATAAATGAGGCTGAGAATGATATTAATGCATATTAATCCAGTATGCTAGTGAAGTTCAACAAAATTACATTTACATTGTTATCCAGTGTCAACTCTTTACCAAGTGTTTAGAATCGAATTCAACTATAAATAGAAAAATTAATTTGGCAACGCTACTGTCAGTGTGTAAAATTAAAGTGACTAGCATATATATTGTATTTAAATATTGAAATGTTAAAAAGAGATTTTGGTTTTTATCTGGCAAATGAAAAATCAATTTTTCTTAGTTATAACTTGTAACAAATGCCAAGGTATTACTACCACTCTAAAACAGCTGTTGAACTGCCAGATGATATATTTGGTTGTCTTCCAGAATTTGCTATTATGATCACTAAACATTGCCTTCTTTTTATTCCTGATTGCTGATTTGATCAAGCATTGCAGTATGATGTGTATGTTTTCACAACACAATCTTTTCAGTTAATGCTATGTCACTTTTTAATGGAAAATATTAAACTGTCCTTTTGTTTAAAAAATATGATTAATCTTTTGATGTTTTTTCTAATTTCATATGAAACTTCATCTTCAAAATTATTTCCAGAACATGACCTATCTGAAAGCAACGTCTTGATTTTATTTTACAGCTAATTATGTGATGATTGGCTCTTATGAGAGATTATTGCTATTTGCCACCATGGCGATATGTCATCACTTTGTTTCACAACATGGTATTCTTACTTTGGGCAGTTTTTTAAAGAAAAAATATTGTGTAGCAAACTCCCCTCATAGCATAGTACATTGAACAATGTAAATTAGAATTTCAGATGTCATGTAAACAGTGACTTATTTATATACCATTTTCTTATAACACATCCTTTGTTCCTCTTGCTCCTATAACTTTTGCTATTGTTTTAATTTGAATAAATAGGCATGTTCCCAGGATAAGGTTATTCCATAGTGTAATTATCAAATGGCTCTTTAAAAATGATGTAGAATTTATCTTTTTATCAGAAAAAAAATTCTTAGATTTCATTTATGATTTAAAATACATACAAAAAAGTTTCTGACATCAGAAAATAGCTCCTTTTTAACAGGCTGACATATTTTGACTTGTTAACCTGTGGAAAACAAAAACCTTAACTTTAAACATTGTTTACTTTGCTTGAAAATTTTATGTGAAGAGCCATTAAAATGATATGAAACATCTTAGAACCACAGCCATGAAGGTGTTTTACATTTCAAATCTGGAATACTAATAAGGTTGCCCTGTCAAAATTTGATTGCCTTGTCATTTTAGCATTGGATTTTAAATAACAAAGTTTCTTTCAGCAATTACCACTTAATGCTATTTAATTTCCCCAGTGAGTGATTTTATCTGTATTGATAATGTCAGAGAAGCAACTAAGGACTAATAAACATTAAACACATTTGACTCTTATCTATTTGATATAGGATGACCATAATATTCTAATATTTTAGCATGACTACTCACTCTTTAGAATGAGTCATAGTTGTACTTAGAATAATTCAAATCTACAGAAAATGCATAGCTGCATGAAACAGAAAAATAGAAAAAGCAGTAACAATAACATTGAATACAAAATAAAGAGGTCCTTCTTGCTTCTGAATGTTCCCGTGACTTAGCCAAACTAAACTGGCACATTTGTAAATGGAGATTATGCCATTTACCTCCAAGTATTATCAAGAGGTTTAAACAATGCTTTGAAAACACTTAACATTGAACCTAACACATGGAAGTCATTTGTCAATTGTTACTTAATTGAGAAACTATTTCTTTAAATTGGCCATTGCTGGTTTGTGTAAAGTAGACTCTTCTTGGATACTTGGCATAGCTCTGAAGATCCCCTTCTTCAAGTAAATCTGCATTGCTTGACTCTATATATTATCAAAGTTTCTCTTTTGTTGTGGAGATTATATTATGGATAGTGCTATTATAAAATTTGCAAAGCATTATGTAATTTTAATATACCTTGCATAAACAGTGTATACAGCATACTCAGTCTTTATTTATTTAGAAGTCACTATCAGTCTTAGAAAGTTGTAGAATCTGTGGAAACATGAACAAGATATGATCATCTTGGAGGAATTTGTTGAAGAAATCACTCTCAAATTTAATTACTATGTCAAATAGACAATATTGATTGAGAACTCATGTACTTTAGATGTAAAGAATTATGCACAATAGGGTCTTTTAACCTCAAAGACTTCCAGTGCTTTTTTGTTGCAAAAGTATGTTTAGTAATAGAAAATACATTGAAGGAAGAGTTAATGATCAAGGTAAGATGTGAATCTAAATATGTCAAAATCTAGAATTGAATTCTATTGAGAAACTATATTTCCTATATATTATAGATAAAATAAAACATCATATTTATTATCCAGTGATAGAATGAATGTCACATAAAAGCATTTTTACAACTAATGTGTAATATTTGGTTGCTGTTTAATTAGAACATTGTTTTTTAAGGACTACAACACAACTGAAATTTTTTTTTGGATTGAAAATACCCATGTTTTCTAGTTGAAGGGAAAAGATAATCTGTTAAATAATTTGTATGGATGGTTTATTTGAAAAGAATAAGGATCAAAAATTTAGCTGTTACATAAGTAAAATAATCAAGTGTCATACAGATCCTGCTAATAACCCTTTGGGATGAACCAGCTGAGAATAGTACTTTTGTCCCTTTTTTATTAGTTCTAAATGAAAGCTAAAAATGGCTAAGGGGTCTAGGGAGAAAAAAGTGTCTGCAGAGCTCTAAGTTAGGCTAGTGTCACCAGCATTCTGAAGGCAGCATTTTCAAACTTACTATTATTTTATTTCTCCAAATATTCAGTCTTCACGATACAGACCTCCTCAATAGAGTAGGGACATTTTGAAAAAATGATCTGCTACACCTCTACACCTAATGGTTTTTAAGCCACCAGTCCCTAGACCATACACTATACACTTAATTGGATTAATGAATCCCCTGAAGTTGTATGTTGTATACTGTGAATATTCTCTGTTTCCTGCCCTTAAATCTTCCCCACCCCCCGTACCAGTAGATAGTCAGAAAATGTACAATGAAAGTGATAGAGTTATTTTAAAGGACAAGAAGTTCATAAGCAGAATGCTGGTCTCCAATCAAGAGTATAAACTCCATTCTTGCATTAAGCTTGTACGAATGGTGATTTCTGTTGAACAATTTTGTTGTCCACTCTGCAGAACAGATGGAGTTTGCAGTTGTGTGTCACTTGTTTATTACATCCGCTTAAAATTAGTAGCTGTGTAGCCAGATGGGTCTGGGAGCACAGCTGTGGATATAAGAATATAAATGAAACCTGTCTGATACTGCCATGCCCTTTTGAGATGCCAAAGTGTTACAGTTGCAACAAAGAAAAATTCACTTTCATTTAACAGTATATTGATATATTCAGTTTTTAAAAATCAAATCTTACAAAAGTAGCTGACTCTGTCAACCCCATGTTTTTAATTAATATTTGTTTTCATAGTTTGGATATCTAAATACATATAATTACGAAGATAAAACTATATGTATCCATTTATAATTTCACCATCCAGGTAAAAATTCCACATTGAATATAACCAAGTTCTTCTTAATTTTAAAATTTATTACGTGGCATATTTTCTGTGATTAATTTCACATTACTAGAAACATAAAATATATTAACATAAATGTAAGTAAATTGTTTCCCTACAAAATAATGTTAGGAAAGTGTGTGATACACAAGTGAAAATTAGAAGGGAATATTAGGCCCTTTAGAACTGCATGGTCACTATTTGCTGTAGCTTTTTAGTCAAATGATATGTTAATATTGATATTGTTCTTTCATATATATGTATGTGTAAACACACACATATATATGAAACTTACAGACTCAAGAGAAATGATAGGATCTTTTGCAGTATAGCAGTAGTAAATTTGGGGATGTTATTTCAATTTAATTGATTCATGTAAACCACATTAAGTCATCAAGTGAAATGCCCAGGACCATCCACCACATTTGTGATGTTATACTATGTCTCATTTCATGATAGTACTCAGTTTTGTTCCTGACCATTGTAGAATTTAAAATTACAGTTTCAATAAAATAACATTTAGTAAAGATATTTTCACAAATGTAATATAAAAACTAGCTATCATAGCAGTTTTGCCCCATTATAAAGATTTTTTTTTTTAAATTGGTATCCAAATGCTATACCTAATAGGACATATATTGAAGCAACAACTAAATTTAGACATACTCAAGTAGAGAACAGATAAACTGGAAGCTATTTTGCTTATACCCAACATTCTGATATCCAAACTATGAAAAATAATAAAATTATAGATTTTAATTTTGCTATTTGAAAAAAAGAAAAAAAATGCAAATGATTCATCCACTCATGTACATGCCGTACTAAGGGCACTAATCAAGGTCAAGTTATTTAATGGTGAAAGATATTAAATGAAAAGAATGTGAAAATCAAATTCAAATTAATCATTCTGTACAGTAGGGTTATTTTACCTGACAAAACTGTTAACATTAACCAGTCCTTTTTATCAATATAAATCTACTTTTTTCTTCTTCTTCAGGAAGTTGGCCTTGTACTTGCGGCTATTTTGACTCTCCTAGTGGCTTTCTATGCTTTCTTTTATCTCAGACTCTCCACAGATGTTGACCCTGGTCTGGAATCAGATGAAGATTAGCTGAGCAGCAATCAGTGCATGAAACTGATATAATTTTATAAGGCATCTTCTGGGACCAATGCTTTCTAAAATATTGAAACTGCAACATCTTGAATTCTTTCTGCTGTTATTTTCAGTTTGCAGAAATATCTTTTTAAATAGTTTCATAGGATATCAAGAGAAACTTCCCTAGCAATGTAATGCGATGTATGTTACTGGATACTTTTATAAATCTTTCCACTATGACAGGCAACCTATTCATGGTGCATTTAGATAAAATGGAAAACAGATCCTAAATTCTTTGAATGTCTTAGCCAGTTTATCTGTATAACTCCATCACTACAGATTACTAAATTTATTTTTGTTCCATAATCATCATAAGTAAAAGTATATATCCTCATTTACAGAAACATACTCAAAGCACATTCAGAACCTCAGAAGTAGCGAAAAGTCATGAGAAATTTTTCATTTTACAAAAAAGCGATGTTTCCTTTCCAGACGTATTTTACTTCATTAGAGACATTCTCTGCACATACATCTACAGTATTCTTTTTCCTTCTTTGCCAACTGTTCAGTGCACATGTGCTCCATCAGAAATGGCACCTGGATGACAGAAGCTCAAAGAGTCACATATGTCTCTAAAATAGAGCTCCTTTCCTCTTGGGCTGCCTGAACTGGTGTAAATAGAAAGTTCAGTTGATCTTGATTTTAATTAACTTATTACTCTATTAATATGAACTTGGAATTCTATTTTAATTATGTTGTTCTGGCTGCTTGCAGTATCAGTTTGCCCCTCTTGTTAGGGAGATGTGTAACAATCTGTCATTAAATTGTGCTGTCTTTTTCACACAACAGTAATATCAGAAGTCCTACCTACTCAAAATCATTTTCTTGGGTTGTCTCTTAAATCTGAACAATGATGTTTTACTAAATTAAATTTTGTCTGGACAGTTAATCAACTGGAACTCTTTCATGAAAAATAAGTAATAGAATAAAATATTTCTCATATTATTCACATATGTAGTATTTTATTTCTACAATATTCAAGGTATTTTGTATTCACTGCAGTGTAATAACCAATACATTCAGTTCTTTAAAAAAAAATAGAAATGAATGTTGAAGTTAATTTTAGAACACATGAACACAAAACTTAGAAATGGGAAAATGGCAAAGTTATTACATAAAAATATATAGAAACTGAAGGGGTTGAAATTTGTACAAAGTGTTTTAGACTATATGTTTCGTATTTATGAAGAGTAAATCAAATATTAGCAATCACTTACTTAGAGGTCAAAAGAAGAAAACTTTGATAAATGGCCTAGCTATTCTTTGGGTACTTTTGCAAAATAGCTGAATATGACTGTGTAGCATTATGTAGAATTTTTTCAAGCAGCATAATATATTTCCTCAGTGTGAAAACGGCCAAAAGTTCCAATATCCTCACAAATCATTTATGCCAGACATCTGAGGAAAAATTTAACCAGTGTTATTTACTGGTTTCTACTCCTTTGAAGTCACAAACTCAAGAGGCAGACCAAGAGTTCTTACACACTCACCACAGTGGACCAATCCAAGTGGCATTTTTAGGAAAGGTTGCAGCATTTAATGCCATGTGGTATGTCTGTTCGTGAAGTGGGAGGCAGGGGGGTATCCAAGCTGGCATTTTGGATATGATGGGCCTTTTACTTTCCTGAGTGACATGCCACATGTCAAGAAATACTGCTTTTCCCTACTCCTATCATATTTACGTGAACAATTTTCATTTAGTTATTTCCCCTCCCATATGGTGTTAAAAACAGTCATATTAAATAAAGATTATATCTAATTTCAGTAGTAATTTAAATGGGAAGTATATAATAACTCCTTATTAGAGTCCTATCCAAATGAATTCTAAGAGAATTTATAGTTTTTAAAATAGATGATATTCTTGGAAATGTTTGAAAATTCATTACCCTGAAAAATCTTTACCATGCTGTTCTATTCTTTAGGTATTCTTTGGAGGAATAAAACATTTCTGATAGTAATAAATGTTAATATAAACATAGTATAATTATAGGCAAGTCTCATTACCTAGAACTTGGTCTATGGCAAGACTATTTGTATGACTGATTGGCTTATGATGGCTCTAGAGAACTATAAATCCCAAATGCTAAATAAACTATGATTTTAATAAATAGCAGGTAAAGTGAGACAACGTATGTTTGCACAACACTGTTTTCGCAAAATGCAAATTTTTCAGACTTACATCAACTGGGTAGCAGCCAATCCTCTGTGGAGAAATCCCAGATTGAAGTCTGGTCTGAATCTCTGGTGACAGAGAGGTGATGTCTGGTCTGCTGTTTCAGGGGACCACACTTTTGAATGGTGAGTAGTGTTTGGCATAAATCTTAGACTGGCACAAGATGCAAACTTTTAGGCATGGTTTTTCCCCTCCAATAATTCTCTGCTCAGAGTAATTCAGAAGACACAAACAGAAAAATTATCATGACTTTTCAGAATGTTAAAATCTAATCAGACTTAACAGACTCTGCAGAATAAATTTCAACAAATGCAGCACACTTAACATATAGCCTATGAAAATACTGTAAATGAGTCTTGAAGGGTTGCTGGTTCTTATTTGGCATGCAAAAATAAAGACTAAATTCATTTAAGAGGAGATATTGTTAAAACATAACTTTACCTAGAATTAAAAAACACATGAACAAAAAAAATTATTTTAGTACCAACTGAGGGTCTTAAGGAAGCAAACACTTGAAGACTTTCTATTTTTTCAACTTTCCATAAAGGTGAAAGAAATGCTTTGTCCCAACCACTGATTGTAATATTATGACAGTGTTCCTATTTACTTCTATAATTCTAATAGTGTAGCATAGTATATGCATGTTAAAATTAAGTTAATCTCTTTTCATACCCTCAGAGTCTGACAGGCTTTTATGTAGTAAATGATCAAAAGTTGTTTGCATTTAATAAATAAAACTTTAAAATCACAATAAAGATCAGCTCTTAGCAGTTATGGTCATTGGTTGTACTGGAGCATGTATATATATCCATATCTATCTATCTATATATATTTCATCTTAATCCTCTTTAAGATCAAGACAACTCACATTAAATTTTATGTGGAACAAAAATACATCTCTAGTAAATCAAATATGCTGTTTTATTTTAGTACTATTAAAAAATACACTGTCTTAAATGTTACTTAACATATACTTAACTTCCAACTCAAATAAAGCTAAATTTTAATTATAGTGTTTATATTTAATGCATACTGAAGTACTATATTTTCCAGATTTAAAATTATACAGTCAATGATAATACAGTGAGCAAATTATGCTTTTAATAAAGCTACAGAAATAAACTTCTAAAAATTAAACTTAATTTTTAATGTATTTTGTCCATGACATATGGTTGTTGAGCCTTAAATTTTGATGCCCTTTGTCCATAAGGTTGTTGAACCAGAGACTAAAATAAGTTTGTATTTTCTCTTTACCATCAATTAGCTTTCTTTACACTTACCTGAAGCTTCCCTGGGGAGATGCTACCACTTTTCCCTTAGCAGCACTTGCTTCTTTCATTAGAATGGCTTCAAGCTGGACTGGATAGAATGATGTTCACTAGATTTTGTTCCACTAACACCATAGCTAGAATTGGTTCAAGCCACGGTGAAAAACATAATAATTGTAGCAGATTAATTCAGTTTCTACACAACCATTTTTCAACAGGTTTTGGCTATAAAGGTAAGTATCGAGGAAACTGGGAGAGTCACTTAAAACACTATGTCAATATGGTAGCATCCACAGTGGGTCAGTAAATTGATTTGAAACAATTGAACTGCTGCTGTATTCAGTGTAGGCTCCTTGTTAAACAATTTCTTTAATCCCTAGCAACAGACATAAGATCCTTGTTTCAAGAAAAATAAGATACTTTACATGCCAGAAGATTTTTTGATGACAGTACCCCCTCCTATTCTTCATTTTTAAAAACAACAACCAAATTGGTGGGGAGGCAGCCAAAATTTGAGGTACCAATGCCTCTCGAACAGATGTCGCGCCATTATTTTTTAGCTCGTTTAGATGAATAAACATGTTAAACTGTGAAGTATTACATTTTAGATTTTTTCATTAAAAAAAGAGACAATCTGTTTACTGTCCTAATTGAGACAACAATCCTTGTGGTTGCCAGTTTTGGCAGTCATAACAATGAACTATAAATATTTGGACCAACCAAGTAAATGGTGACTATAAAGGCTATAGCCTGTGTAGAGTTCTGTTTTCATGGGCAACCACTTTAGTGTGGTTTTTGTATTTTTCTGAGTCTTTCAAATACAATTGTTAGTATGAAAGTGAAGTTTCATGGTAAGCCTAAATGACACTGACTTCAATAACTAATTTTGTTCGAGTTTGTCATTCTTTTTGGTACTCTATTATCCTTCTGCTCTTAACAAATTGTTCTAGTTGCTCTATTGAATGTGATAGGACAATTCTTTCTTAGATTGTCTTCTCTGCATATCCTGGGGGGGGGGTTCAAAGATCCCCTTTCCCCATTTTCATGTTATTTAAATGGAATTAAAATGTTTTAAAAGTCTCCTGATTTGCACACATTACTTTTCTAAGGAAGGCTTTATGAATAATAGCAGAAGTAACTCTTGCTCTGATGGCCTGCCATAAGGAGGTCAGAATCTGGGCCCCTTTAAGGGTGATTCCCACTAAGCAATAGCAAGTGATAGCATAGGGGACATTGGCAGACCAAAGAGAAAAAATCCAGGAATAAAAAAAAATTACTACCTTATTTCCTAAACATTTTGTGATGCAGGTAGCTAGTACCTATTTGAGTACTCTCGTTCCTTTCCACTTCCTTCCCTATCTGCTTCCATTTTAAAATACAGGGAATCGCTTATATTTCCTCTCACTTTGTATGATCCTCACTTCTATTTTGTCATATTTAACTCTACTAGCTATATTAACTGCCTCACTCTTGTACTTTGGATCGTCATTTATCTTTACCTTTCCCTCTACTATCTCTTAATTCTTACCTATCACTTATTAGCAACTACATGTATCAGACAAAACCAGATAATGGATAATAGTGTGATGAACCTCAACCTATCCATCACCTAGTTTTCAATTAACAATATTTTGCCACTTTCATGTATTTCCCCTACTTGTAACTTTTAGGCCTTTTAAAGCAAGCCTCAGGTAGACATTTTACCTGTAAATATCCAGCATCCATTTCTGATAAGCGCTTTGGTTTTCTTTTGGTGTAGGCTTATTTTCTTAACATGATTAAGACACTATTATTACAGTTAATACAATTAAATAGTTACTTCTTAATATCATTTCAATCCCAATTGTATATCTAAATGTCCCTATTGTGCCTGAGGCATCTGTTTGTAATAGGTTTTGGATTAATATCTGCACTATATTTCATTGCATGGCTACTGAATTCCTTTTATTCTGTAACAAACCCTTTTTCCTTATATGGCCTTTTGAATATCCAACATCCTAGATATGTCCTTTTTCAACATGTTATTCATTTTATTGCTTTTTTCCTATAAATTACAGATTAGATCTTAGATTAGATTAGCTCCAGACTGTTAACGTTATTTGCTTTTAAGGCAAGAGTACTTAATGGTATCTAATAAGGCACATAAAAATGTTTTCCTCAGTTATGTGGTGATGATGAGATTTATCAATGGCTTTGTGTGTTAGTAATTTGATTCCCTCCAAAATAAGGTCTTACATTATTGCTTCACCTAAAGCTTTTCCATCCATTCATGATTATTTTTTAGGTTCATTATTTCATTAGACATTGATTTTTTTTTCTTTTCATCAGTAGTTATTCAGTGATGTTATTTAAAATTTTTTACCAACTATTTGATTATGTTAAAATACATCTCATACTGGATAGAAAATATAAAACTTGAATATTTGCCTTTATCAAATTTCAGAGTAATGTGTTAACACTCTTTGGTGATGGAGATTGTCATTGCTATTCCTGTTATTGCTTTTATTG